ACTTTTTGGTAATAACAGGAGAGATAACCCTGGAATTGTGAGGTTAAAAAAAAAATCTACTCCAGATTACCCTTATTCCTCTCCACAAAACCTTCTTCTAAGGATACAGAAAAATACATGTCATTTACACATGAGCAACAGAAAAAGATTGTGGTCAAATCCCATACAAAACTATTATAAGAAGAACTATGAACAGAATAGTATTCCTTCAGATAATAAATGCATTCCACAAAGACAGAGCCATAAAACATCTAAACACTGAAACTTATTTCAAAAACAGCTAAAAGAAATGAAACCAACAGTTGCTTTGAAACAATAGCATAAGTGAAAAAGACAAAAAGATTTGAAAAGATGGCTTATGAAAGGAGAAGATATTTCAGGTGAAATAACTCAATAGAAGGAATAAATGAGTGAATGGACACCATAGGTGATACAATATAATACAAATAGAATACAATAGATGATGGAAAGGAGAAAAATAAAGTCAGAAATGAAGAAATACTTTTTAAATGCAAGAAAAAGTTACAGGTATAGAAGATAGACAAAGAAGATCCCACATGCAAACAAGTCCCTAAAGAAGAAATCCAAAGTAATAGAAGAGAACATTTTCCCCCCTGAAATACCAGAACAGATTTGAATTTGCACCATGAAGAAGTACATCACATGTCTGGGAAAATCAACCCAGAATAGTCAGCATTAAGACATGCTCTAATAAAATTATTGGACTTTATAGAAAAAGGAAAAATCCTGATGCTCATTCACACAACAAAAGTAAGTGCTTTATAAGGGGAAACAAATTAGAATGGCATTAGACTTTTCTACAATAGCACTCTGTGCCAGGAGACAACTAAACAACATATACAGTATTCTCAGGAAAAGAAAAAGAGAACCAAGGATTTTATATACAGCCAAGTATGAAAGCCACAGATCAACTATTAAGAATGTGCAAGAAACAGGGAAATGTTATTTCCCATGAGCCTTTCCAGAGGAATTTACCAGAAAGCAAGCTACAGGCAACCACATTGACTACACAGGTATAAACATAAAGGCTAGGGGTGAGCATTAAACTTACAGTCACCTGTAGAACTCACACTTATGGTATGAGGGAGATAATATTTAATGGTTGCATGTTCTGTTAATGAAGATACAGTAAAAGTATTAAAAATTAGGAGAAAATGGAGTGTGTATATGAAAAATAGAATAAATTTACAGATTGCCTTTAAGTATTAACTAGAAACAAACGGGTATTTTTTTTTTCAAGTTACATGTCAGAGGAAAGGGAAGGAAGAGAAATAGAGGCTACTGGCTAATTTCAATATTTCTCATGGCAGGAAACCAACAGACAGTACCAAAAAGGGGGAGGACTAAGGGTGTTATATAAAGGTGTTGATTTAATGATAATTATCAGAATAACAATAACAGGCATATTCCTACAGAGGTAGGGGAGCAAGAGGGGAAAAAAAATCATTTGAGAACACATTTCCCTCTCATATGAACCTTAGGCCCAACATGTCCCCTATCGTTGCTTCTTCAGTCTTTAAAGTTGTGCCTCCTCCAGACAGCCTTCTCTGATTTCCCTAGCACATGCGAATCTCTCCCCTCATCTACCACTCCTAGGTATCAGGTACCTTGTTCTCCGAATGTGTTATTTTATCACATCTGCAGGTAGAGATGGAGTGCTCTATATAATTTTCAGTGCCTTTTTCAGAGTCTGGCACCACGTTCTACACACAGAAGGCACTTACTAAATGGTGGTTCATCAGTAATTTAGGATTGGTTGAAGGATTTAGGCTAATAGCCTCTGGGCTTTTCTAAGAGCTTAATGTTCTTATTTGTCAGAATTTTTTCAATTTGAAGTAACAGCAATACCATTCAAATTGATATAAGAGCCCTCTGAACTTGAAATGTCCTAGAATGTGTCTTATTTCAGTTTTGGCTGGACACAGTGACTCAAGTCATAGCACCATTGTCAGTCTTTCTTTGTGCTAGACTCTGCTTTCCTCTGCGTTGGCTTCATTCTCAGTTAGGCTCTGCTCTTCCCTCATGGTCAAGAATGGATCCTATCTACAATGGCTCCACTAAAAGTCCCAGGATTGAGTTTCATTGGCTTGGTTTGTATTATGTGCTCATCCCTGACCCAATCATTGTGGCCAAGAGAAATGCTTTGATTGGCCAGCCATGGGTCATGTGACCCCCCCAAGCTATCTGTGAGGAAGAGGTGGTTTCCCAAAGGAAAATTGGGGTGCTGTTACCTGAAAAGGAAAGATAGATGCTGGCTGGGCAAAAGCAACGACATCTGTTTTAGTGTTGATACACTCAGTGGGTAAACTACAAGAAAAATTCCCTACAAGTGAAAAATCATGGTTTGGGGGCTCATCCTTGAGACACGAGCTCTCTCTGCTGTTTTCAAACTCAGAGTTTATTTACCATGTTGGAGGGGCACTCGCCATGGGGCCCAGTTTCAATGAAGGAACCAGCTTTCCCACACAGCTTGGGGGGTTCTCTCACTGGCCTGGGAAAAGGATATTCAGTTTGCAGAGGCATTAAAAACAAGCGTGAGTCTTGGGGAGCACTGAGCATCCCGGCAGGCATCTCCTGTGATCTGGCTTTGTTTCCTGAGTCTGCAGCTGTACTGTGTTTTTCTTCTCCATGTGTTTTACTGGCCTCTGAGGCTTGAAGAAAGCACTAGTGCCCCCTGCACCTTGGAACTCTCCCCTTCCCAGGCAAAATACACTTACTTTTTCTCTCTTGGGGATTTGATTACCCAGCACAGATAATTTGGATAAAGGGAATCCACTGAGTTAGCAAATGCGGAAACAGAACAGAACTTAAAAACATATCCATTTCTCTCCTAAATCTTTAACACTTTTTTTCTGCACTGGACTCTCCCTTTCAACATTTAAGCATCTGAAAGTTTCTGCCATTTAAAACAAAATCTCCTGCCCTGGCCAGTGTGGCTCAGTTGATTTGAGCATCATCCTATACACTGAAAGGTTGAGGGTTCAATTCCCTGTCAGGGCATGTACCTAGGTTGTGGGTTTGATCTGTGTTCAGGGCGTGTACAGTAGACAACCAGTCAATTTTTTGCTCTTACATTGATGTTTCTCTCTCTCTACCCCTCCTTTTCCCCCTCCTACCCTCCCTCCTATTCCCTTCCCCGCTCCCACTTTCCCTCTCACTCCCTTCAGCTCTCTAAAGCAATTTTTAAAAATGTCCTCAGGTGAGAATTAAAAAAATAAATAAAATAAATTTTTCCTAAATTTTAGTAACCCTTTCACTACCACCCTTTAAGGCAAAATTTCTTGAAAAAGTTTTTTATATTCCTGTTTTCATTTCCCCCTTATATTTCAACCCACTCTGATCTGCTGGTACTCCCCCATCCCTTCAGTACACACACTTTATGAAAGAGCTCTCCCTACACTCTCATTTAGCTCCAAGATGCTAAACCCAATGACCCTATGTTAAAGGGGGGAAAAAAGTATTCATTTCTTAGGTTGAGAGGCAGCATTGTGATCTTCAATTTTAATGGATATTTATTGAATGATTTTTAAAAATCAAACATATCCAGGGAAGAGTGAAGTGTCATATAATCAAATCCCCAAGAAAGAGGAAATAGAAATATTTTGCCTAGAAAAGGGAGAGTTCTAGGGTCCAGGAGTCACTGGCACTTTCTTCAGATCTTTTAAAGTGCTGCCACATAAAAGAGTAGTTATGGTCTGGGTGGTGTCAGGACTAGGAAAACAGGATGACGTCCTCTCATTTTAAGAAATATTGTAATGGTCAGAATTCTCTAAAGAAGAAAGAGGCCGCATCAGGAGCTAATGAACTCCCTGTCACTGGCAGTAATCAAGCAGGAACTCGTCTGTCAGAAGTACTCAGAGGAGAATCCTGTGTTGGGTGGGAGGTTATACCTGAAGGCTTCTGAAATTCTGGGATTGGTTAAGCATGCTTCTCTAGAGGCAGGTCTTCATGATGCACATCTGTCACTCCCAGCTGTATCGTCTTGAGCAAGTTACTCAACCTCTATTTTTCAGTTTTCTCAGCTGTAAAAGAGGGCTAATAAAAGCACCCACCACATAGGGTGGCTATGAATCTTCAAGTACAGTAATGCATATGTGACTCAGCACCGGTGCCTGGTGCATTGCGTTTAGCATATATTTGCTAGTATTTGTATTCGGTGCAAAGCCCTGTTCTCTAGATGGCACTCAATTCTGAAGCATCAGTCCCATCAGTTGCATTTAGTAGTGGGTTTTCCTTCACAACTTCTAGGAGCTCAAAAAGAGCCCAGGAGAAAGTGTTAAGAGATGCCACTGTAATTCCTGCTGTGCACATCTTGCTGTCCACAGCAGTTCTTGTCAGAGGGGATATTAGAGAATAAGAAAGTAGTTTCCGTATTTCCACATAAGAAGCCTAAAATGCATGTATTTTGAAGGGTGATAAAGATTTGGTGGGCCTTCCGTGTCACCTCTTGTGTTCAGGTCAGCTATTCCAATGGTTCCCCAGACAGAATCCTATGACAATTTGCTCATGGTAGTCTTAATCACAAAGGAGAAAAATTACTCATTTTGGTTCAAACATGCCAATGAGCATGATCACATCCTAGGGGCCTACATTCCATAGTGAGTGCATGCTGTCGACACTCCTGAAAAGGAAGCTCATTCCCACTCTGCAGGTGAGGAGACTAAGCCTCAAAGAAGCTAAGTAACTTTTCCATGGTTACACAGCTGAAGCAGGGTCCTAAACATCCTAGTTCTTAATATTCAATGAACTACTATCCATAACCTCTGAAAAATTCTGGAACTAATTAAGGAAATTTATATTTAATCAAATGGTCCCCAAGAATAGAACTTCTGAAAAACACATCCCTAAGAAAGTTAGGAAGTTTGGTTATCTTTTCATCTAGTCTTTTCAGAGGGTGGGTATAGATGGGGAATTTCAGAGAACAGGGCCACCACACACCTGATTTCTCTCTGTGCCAACTTCTTTGTGCCTTTCTGCAGGTCTGGGTAGATGCTGGAACGCAGATCTTTTTCTCCTATGCCATCTGCCTGGGTTGTCTGACTGCTCTGGGAAGTTATAACAATTATAACAACAACTGCTACAGGTGAGCATTTCCCCAAACCCTGCCAGCTTTCCACAAAACCCTGAGAGCTCTTTACTCTGCCTCATATTTATCTTCCCACCTTACAGGGCTAGACAGATGGGCTGTTTCCCAGCTTGTCCCTGCCCCAGTGTCAAAGATAGGCCATGGAGGAGCTAGGAAATTAACAAACATGATCAGAGTGCATTCTAGGCTGCAAGCAAATCCTTTTTGGAATCTTACCCAGGCCTCCATCTCACCTTTTTTCACAGGGTAGATGAATGGCTTGCCCAAGGTCATGTAGCTAGTAAGTGGCCAAGTTTGGACTTGAACCGAGGTCTTCTGACACCAAGGGCCTTGTTCTTCTGCCTTCTGTTCATAAACTTGCATTCTGCCCTTCTCATTTGACAGTAAGGTCCTTTCCTGGCCCACCTGGAATGGCCAGTGCCCTCCATGTCCTTTAGTTTGACAGGCCTCTTTCCCTGACCTTCTGCAGCTGGCCACACCCAGCATCAGGATGGAGCTCATGGGGCTCAAGGTCAAGGATGTCTGACCTTGGCTGCCTGGACCCCCAGGCCAACAGTCTGAGTTCTGCAACAAGGCTGAGACAGAAGGCCAGGAACTTGCCCAAGGTCACCCAGCAGTGCATGGCAGAGCAGAAATTTGCATCCTAATCTCTCAGTCTAGGCCCATGGTCTGTTTACTGACGTCTCTGCACCCCTGAACTTAGTGTCTGGTCATAGTAGGTGGATATTCAGAGATGCCTGTATAGCATCTCTCTTCCTGAGTGTCCAAGAGCTCCTTATTCAGGTATAAACTCATAGAATAATGACAATGAAGCTATCTCTGATCACAGATTAGTTGATAAAGGATTTAGGATAAGTATTTGGGGAAAATAATCAAGGTAGATAATGATACTTTGTCTCATATCTGCACCATACTAAGTGTCAGATTGATTAAAGAGTTTAATATATTTTTTAAAAGGAAACCATTCTAAAACTAGGAATAAAATTCCAATGTAATTTTTCCCCCATACCAAGCAATTCTTAGACACCAGCTATGTGTCCTTCAATTAAACTCAATTCTAATACTATCTACCCAGAGATAACACCAAATTGTACAGGGTAAGGGCTGAGTCCTACAAGACTGCCCCTCCCCCCTTCACACACCAATTGCAAGTCCAGGTTGTCATCTGTGCTTCTGACTGAATAGGTTCGATTAATTTGCTAGAAAGGCTCACAGAATTCAGAGAAACATTTACTCACTAGATTACTGGATTATTATAAAAGGATGTAACCCAGAAACAGCCAGATGGAAGACATGCATAGGGCAAGGTGTCGGGGGAGGGGATGGAGCTGCCATGCCCTCTCTGAGTGTGCCGCTCTCCCCGAATCTCTGAATCTCTGAGTGCTCACCAACCTGGGAGCTCTCTGAAGCCTCTCCTTTGAGGGCTCTGTGTGTGTGTGTGTGTGTGTGTGTGTGTGTGTGTGAGAGAGAGAGAGAGAGAGAGAGAGAGAGAGAGAGAGAGAGAGGCTTCATTACATAGCCACGATTGGTTAAATCACTGGTCACTGGTGATAGATCTCAATGCCTAGCCTCTCTCCCCTCACTGGTGGTCAGGGGGTGGCATCCTCTCTGAGAACTAGTTTTGGGATCACTTCATTAACCCCTTTGTTATTGTGTCTACTAAGTGTGAGACCCTGGAATTGGTCTCACACTTGGGAGATACAGACAACAATGGCACAGCCCAAGTGTATAGCTTATACATTGGGGAAACTGAGGCACTGAAGAAGTGAAAGGAAAAGATCCAACATGCTGCAAAGAAAAGCTATTGTGGAATCCAATACACAATTAGGCAGCAAGTTGTGTTGTTCCTGAGGGCCTTGCGGCAGAGACGTAATTAGGTATGGCTGCACAGAGGCATACTAGAGAGGTGGAAGGTCAGACCAGTCTGCCCAAAAGACCTTTTCTATCTTCACAGTGTTCACGGGGAGGTGGGTCTAGGGGATGGGAGGTGAAGCACTATGTCAGCCACAATACAAAATGGAAACTATGGATAGGAAGAGAAAAGCCTCGGGGCAGGGAGAGCAGCACAGCAGACCTCAAGTCCAAGATGAGTGTGACCCCCCTGGGGATATTGGAGAGGGATGCTGTCTACGTACAGGTCCAGCACATCAGCAGCCGGCGTCTGTGCGGGCCCTCTGTGCTGGGCGCTGCAGAAATCACTTGGTCACTGTTGACCACCTCCCGCTAGGCTGTCTCCTCATGAGAACACGGGCTGGGTCTTCTTGTTTGCCACCATCCCTCAAGTCTAGCATAGTGCTGACTGACATGTAAGGAAGTGTGGAAGGGCCACACCATTATACAGATAAGGAAACTGAGGCCCAAGGGTAAGTCACTTGCTCGTGTTCACATTGCCAGTGATGGAATGTGGCTTTGAACCTGGACCTTTCTGGTTCTTGCTCCCCTATTCCTCACCACTAGGGATGACCAGTTCTTTCCTCACTGCAGCATCTGGCGTAGATTTGACCAAGACTGCCTTGTTGTCACGCTGTGTCCCAGGGCAGTGGCAACTTTCTTCCCCACAGAGCGCATGGATGAACATGCTGGTTGTGATGGTCCCTTCTGCATCCCCATCCAACAGGCAGGTTTCTCCTTCTCCCATCAGCAGAAGAAACTCAGTCCATTAGATGACATTGCCAAATCCAAAGGCTCATTTTATTCCCTTTACCAAATGGTTCTGCAAGCGGTTTTTCCCAACTCAAAGAAAGTAAATTAGTACCCTCTCTTCTGACAGCTTAATAGCTTCTGGAGGTCTTCAAAGCTGGCTCAGCTGCTACCAGCTTCACAGTGCTTGTTACATAAGCTTTTCACCTAGAAGGTGCTCTGTGGAGGAGGAATTAGAGGGATATGGACAGAGCAAACCAGGCGAGGAAAATCCTCACTTCAGAACACAGACAGCTAAGCTCTGTCCCCTGAAGGCATGTGTGCTCTGAGGGTGGAGGTGTGGGACACAGGGCTGGAAGTGACCTCAGGTCTGTTCAGAGCCTCCACGTGATGTGAGGAAGCCTCTGGGGCAAGATGGAGACTTTGCGATAAGGGACATTTGTTTTTCAGCAACCATGTGATGCCCAGAGATAATTGTCCACAAGTCAGGATCTGGAAGTCTTGATTCTTAGGGAGCATCCTTTTTGTGTAAATGCTAGAAAAATGTGGGCTTTGGTGTCTGAGATAAATGGATGCACATCTCAACTCTACCACCAGATGACTGTGAAACCTGAGTATGTGCCGTTCCTCCCTGACCTTCCAGATTCCGTGACACAGTGCTCAAAAAACCCTGGCACAGGACTGGACACATTACAGATCCAAATTATACAGAATTCCTGATTGCGGAGGTTATGAAGAAAATGCTTTTCTTATCAGGGCCACCTTGTTTCCTACTGTTGGATGACGAGCAGACTTATTCCAGTCTCAGGGATAATTCTGCCCTTACCCTGGGCTGAGTTGAGTTTTCTTTTGAGAGGAGGCACATCAGGCTTGCAGATAAAGTCCTCAGGTCTGGCAGCCCATCCTGCATCCAAACTGCCTGAAGAGTTCTTTAAAAGAACCTGTATCAGTCACTCCCTGCCACAATAATGCGCTGTCATAAACAACCCCAGAATTCAGTGGCTTACCCCAACAAGCCTTTTTTTTTTTTAATTGCTTCCAAATCTGCAGGCCAGCTGGGGAAGCTCTCCTTTGGGGTGCGGATTGAGCGGGGTTGGCTCCAGGATCCAGGCCAGGCTCAAGACTGGTCTATGCGGGTACATTCTGGGTCCAGGCTGCAGGGACAGCAATTCCCCTGCAGCAGTTATTCTCATGGAAAATCACAGAAAGAACAAAGGACAAATCAAATCACACAAGCATATCTGAAGCCTCTGTGTCACATCTGCCAGCATCCGTTAGACAAAGCAAGTCACGTGACTAAGCCCAAAATCAGTAGGTAGAGAGATATGCTCCACCCCAAGAAAGAAGGTAGAGGGATGACAACTTCCTGGAAAAGGATTTAATCTGTCACAAAGCCTAAGAGTCAAGAGAGTCAATCTACTAATGCACCTGGTTTTAGAGCCGGTGAGATCAGGACTAGAGAAAAGATATTGCAGGGAGAATTGGAACCTGAGCCCCAGTCTAATGCTCTCTCCACTATGCCCTAGATTCTCAGAGTCCCTGCAAGACAACAGGGTGTTACAGTCACCAACATTAGTGTACCCTTCGGTTGTATTACAAAAAGTATGGTGTCAGGAAAAGAGGAGGTGAGAGTCCACTCTGTTCTTGAGTCTAGTCCTCCTGTGACATTGGAAGAGGGGCTGAACAAGCTGGAGTGTATTACAGATCATGAGCAGGAGGTGGAAGTGGTAAGGAAACTGGGACATTTAATGGAGAGAACAAAAACTCAAGAAGATATAAGGCTACTACTGCCTTTAAAACTTCCAAGCCTGAAGGAGTTCCAGGTTTTTGGGAGGGTAGAACTAAAACTTATTAAAGAAAGCTGATCTGGGTCAAATACAACATGAAAAATTCTTACTCTTAAGCATCAGGAGCTTTCAAGCAAGGGGAAAGCACCCTGAAGAAGTGACAAGCTCCTGATAGCTAGTGGGGAGCAGAGGCAGCTGGCCACCCACAGGGACACTCCAGGCTAGGCATGCCTCTAGGAGTGGGGAGAACAGGTCACTTGAGAACTGCTCCCTTCAAAGTGGAGTATCGCACATGACGTAAGACTAACTCCCAAGTGCACAATCTGCAGTGGCTGAAATTCTGAGAGGCTCATTCCCTGACTTGGCCTCATGAGGGTGGGGAACCCCAGGGTGGGAGAGGCTGGGACTAGAGGGATCCATCTTCTTCATCTTCACAAAGTCATTTGTAGTGCGATTTCTCCCAGGTCATGACTTTTTGCTGGCGAGCCTCGCCCAAAGTCAGGGAACAGTCATTGCTCCGATAAACGTCTCTGTGAAGGGCCTGGCCTTGAGGGGCTGCTTTCGAGCCACAGCAGAGCAGAGACTGAGCAGTGACATCTGTGGGGTGCTGCTCTGCTGAAGGGCTTGGCCAGGAGGGATGAGGCTCTGGGGAGCTTCCTGCGTGAAGCCTACAGTGCTCCCTTGGCTGAGAAGCAGCTGTTTCTCAGAGGTTTCCCCTGCCCTCTTTTTTTTTTTTTTGAGTTCCTCTCCTACCAGGGATTTGGGGGAGCATTGGTTTGTCTCCAAGTATTTTCTTTCTAGTTGTACACTTTCCCACTTGCCAGCCTTTCTCCATTCCCACTCCCTCTCTATGCTTCTGGTCTGTGACCTCTCCTCTGGAGGTGCAGGAGAAGCTGTGTGACAATGGGCCAGCCACCTAACCTCTCTGAACCACAAGGGCTTCACCAGGCAAATGGTGCTGTTCATGCCCCCACTGCCTTGCCTACCACATAAGACAGCCATGGTGCTCAGACAGAATGTTCCAGTTTGTGCAGCCCACTCTGACTTGAGCCCCTCTAACTGCTTCCCCGCAGGGACTGCATCATGCTCTGCTGTCTGAACAGTGGCACCAGCTTTGTGGCTGGCTTTGCTATCTTCTCGGTCTTGGGCTTCATGGCATATGAGCAGGGGGTGCCTATTGCTGAGGTGGCAGAGTCAGGTAAGTGCCAAAGGTGGGGATGGTGTTGGGTGATGGTTACAATGAAAGTGTTATTTTTTTCCTGAGCTTGTTCTCCTAGGTCAGGTCTCTGGCAGTGGCCCTACCATTAATCCTCAAACCAGGATCCTAGAAATTACCTGGGAGGGAAACCTTGGCACCTCCTCCAGAATCCAAGGTATCCCCAAGTTGTATAAATTCTGCCTCCTCAATGCTGCTTCATTTCATCTACTTTTCCCCAGTTCTGCTGTCTCCCCACCAGCCCATACCAACATCGCCACTCGCCTGAATGACCCCAGGAATCTACTAATTTTCAGAGAAATGCATATTAAATCCACAATGAGATATCACCTCACACCTGTCAGAATGACGATCATCAATAATGGCAGGTGGTAAGGATGTGAAGAAAAGGGAACCCATAGTGTGCTGTTGGTGGGAAGGCAGAGTGAAACAGCCACTGTGAAAGCAGTGTGGAGTTCCCTCAAAAAATTAAAACTGGATCTGCCTTATGACCCAGCAATTCCTCTTCTGGGGATTTATCCAAAGTAATCCAAAATACTAATTTGAAAGAATACACACAATGTATGTTCATTGCAGCATTATTTACAATGCTGCAATGAACAAGATATGGAAGAAACCCAAGTGCCCATCAATAGATGAATGGATTTTTAAAAAGCTGTGGAACATATATATATAGATAGATAATTGAATATTACTCAGCCATAAAAATGAATGAAATCTTCCCATCTGCAACAGCTTGGATGGACTTCAAGAGCATTATGCTCAGTGAAATAGTCAGAAAAAGACAAATACCATATGATTTCACTTATAGGTGGAATCTAAAAAAAAAAATTAAACAAGGGAAATTGAAATAGACTCACACACAAAGAGAAAATTGGTGGTTGCCAGAGGGGAGGGTGATTGGAGAACTGGGTAAAAGAGGTTAAGGGATTAAGTACAGATTGGTAGTTACAAAATAGTCATGGGATGTCAGTAAATCATAGGGAATATAGTCGATGATGTTGTAATAACTATGCATGGCACCATTTGGGGTACTGGAAATATTGGGGGGAATGCTATGTAAAGGATATGATTATCTAACTACTAAGCTATACACCTGAAGCCAATACAAAATAAAACAAAAACAATTCATATTATCAGAATCCCTAAAAAAGAAAAAAACCAACAGAACAGGTGATATTTAAAACTATAATTCAAGAAAACTTTTCAGAAATAAAAAAAAATTAATATACACATTGAAAGAACTATTTGGGTACTAGGGAAAATTACCCAGAATGGTCAATTCTTCCATTTACATCCTAGTGAAGATACTATCTTTCAAAGATAAAGATAAAATCCTCGAAGCTTCCAGGCAAAAAAAGATTAAATATCTTATAAAACCAAAAGAATTAGTCTGTTCTCATACTCTTCAAGACCAACATACAAAACAAGGCAATTATGGAGCAGCATTAAAAATATATTTTTTTTCATAAAAAGAAGTGTGAATCAAGGATTTAATGTTCAGCCATTTCTTCAAATGTGGAGGCTATAGAAAAACCATTTTCAACATATAAGAACTTGGAGACTTTTACACTCATTAGTCTTTTGGAGGAATCTACTTGAGGGTGAACTTTGTCCAACCCAATACCAACTGGGAAAACTTCAAGAAAAGAAGAAAGAAACAACTGATAGTGAGCACCTGAATATATATAAGTACGTCTAATACTAAGACCTAGGTGAGCAAGAGGATGGAGGACTAATGCAGAAATGCTGTGTACTGTTATAAAGTAGAAATCATTCAACTAAAAAGTGGAAAGAGAAAGCAAGAGGAAAGTAGAAAAAGCTCGTTGTTGTAGGGGTGGGCAGTAGGTGGTGGTAAGGGATGGGGGTGGGCATCAGGTGGGGACGGGGAGAGCCAAATAGTAAAGGTTCAAGTAAGAAAACAAGTGCCTAAGGACATTTAAAAAGGAATAAATATAAACGTAACCACTAGAAAAAAAACATAAACCTTCCTAAATACCAAAAATCACTTATAAATAAAAGAAGAAAGAATACACAGAGAAGTATAACAAATATAAAAATATACAGAATTATAAAATATTTTGTCAGAGTTAAGACCAAACACATTGATCATATCAGTAAATGTGAATGGGATCAACTCATCTAGTAAACATTTTTCAGTTTGGCTCACTAAATAAGACCTATATTCTGTATGTAAGAGACACACCTAAAACAGTGATTCACAAAGAGTTAAAGTCAAGGGATACTCAACAATAGCAATGCCAATATCAGACAAAGTAGGATCCAAGCCAAAAAGCATTAAGCATGACAAAAGATACTTTTTAATGTTAAAAGCCAGAAAACTATATTCACCAATAACACAGCAATGATCGTTATGAAGCAAAAACTGTAGACAGTGCAAAGACTCAAAGATAAAAATAGCAATAAGAAAACTATAATAAACACATTTATCAATTAAAATAAAAGAATGATAAAAATTAAATTAACCATTCAAAAACCCATAAGAATAATAACAGAGTGACTCAAAAGAAGCACAAGGAAGGAAATGATAAAGATAAAAGCAGAAATTAGGGGGGCAGGGGGAAGTGGTGGCCGGAAAGTGGAGACAAATATATTTGAACAATAAAAAATATATTTAAAAAAGATAAAAGCAGAAATTAATGAAGTCGGGAATAAAGAGTCGATCTAATTAATGAAATCTTGAATTTTTAAAAATTAAAATAAATGACCAGATGATCAAGAAAAAAGAGAACACATAAATAACAAAATAAGAACTGACAAATAGGAAATAATTGTTGAAGCAGAAGAAATTTTTAGAAATCAAGATTACTTTGCAAACTGCTGTGCACATAAATTTGAAAACCTAGACAAAATGATTTTCCTCAGGAAACACAGGTCGCCAAAATTGACCCCATTTGATTTGGAAAACTTAAACAGGCCAATATCCATAGGAGAAATAGACAAAGTTATTGAGGAGCTACCCTACAAAAAACACCAGGCCCAGATGGTTTTAGAGAGGAATTCTACCAAGCCTTCAAGATCCAGATGCTCCCAGTGCTCTAGAAGTTATTTCAGAGCATCAAAAAGGAAGAAAAACTCCCTAATTCCTTATTGAAGCATGTATAAAATTGCTACCTCAACCAGGTAGAGACAATACAAAGAAAGAAAAATACTGACCAATATCACTCATGCATTTGATATAAAAATATGAAATAAAATATTAGCAAACAGAATGCAAAATCGCATTAAGAAAGTAGTGTACCATGACCAAGTAAAATTTAGTCCAAGAATAATCCAAGGTTGGTTTAATACTAGGAAGTCCATTGATATAATATACCATATTAATAGAGCTACAAAAGAAAAAGATCAGAAGATTACATAGATGTTGAAAAGCCTTTGAAAAAACTTAACACTCATTCACAATATTTTTTAAAAAATCAAGAAAATAGAAACTTAGGGATGTTATTTTATGTTTCAGCTTTTTTGAGGTATAATTAACAAATAAAATTGTAATATATTTAAAATGTATATCACCTCACAGATTTGTGTTTGGGGGGAGGTGAGAATATTTTAAGTATACTCTCTTAACAAATTTCAATTATACAATGCAGTTTTATCAATTATAGTTACCATGTTATACATTAAATACTCAGACCTTGCTCATAGGTGAAAATTTGTACCTTTTCACCATCCTCCCTCTATTTCCCCTACCCTTGCAGCCTCTGGCAACCACTCTCCTACTCTCTGTTTCTATGAGTTTGACTTTTTCTTTAGATTCCACATGTATGTGACAATACTATGAAGTATGTCTCTGTCTGGTGTATCTCACTTAGTACAATGCCCTCAAGGTCCATCCTTATTGCAAATGGCAAGATTTCCTTCTTTCTCAGGGCTGAATAATATTCCATTGCACATATATACCACCTCTTCCTTATCCATTCATCTGTTTGTGAACACTAACATTGTTTCCATGTCTTGGCTATTACGAATATTTACTTTTTACTAACTTCTGTGAATATTTATTTAAATTATAACCATGTGTATGTATAAAAGTTTAAAAAGCAAGTATCTGTAGTATCCTATTTATCATGTAAGAAAGAAGGGGACATATGAAAATATATCTGCTCATTCATGCAAAATAAGTATAGAAAAAATAAATTAGACTCTAAAGAGAATGGTTTTCTACAGGGAGTGAATGAAAAAAGGGTAGAAAGAAGATAGGAATTAGAAATGAAATAGTAAGGATGAGAAGGAAGCAATAGTTCTCTGAGTGTATTTTTTTTTTCGTAGCTCTGACTCTTAGAACCACAGTAGGGTTTCACATAGCACACAAAATAAATGAACAGTTACCTTTTGTGGTAGAACCCAAAGGGAATACAAATAGTAACAGATGAATTTGACTGTATTACAAATGAATAATGTAATCATACCAAAAGGAATGGGGGAGAAAAGAACTAACCTAAGTAAATTTCAGGGAAACAGTATTTTAGCTGGATATTATAAGGCTAAAAACAAAAATAAGTGTACTATATTCTTGTTATTAGTACATTGGTATGGGTAAGCAATTCTGTAACTATTGTTTGTATGTTAAGATTGAACAAACCAGTCCATATAGATAATAGAGACAAATCTTTCACTATCTGAGAAAAAAGTTACATATAAGGAAAGTGGAGAAGCTAGAGTGAACTATATTAGAATTGGAGGTATCAGTATGGACTCATGGTTTATATATATATATATATAGAGAGAGAGAGAGAGAGAGAGAGAGAGATACATGTGTGTGTATGGGCAGGTAAATGTACATACATACATTTCCTACTTTGTGTGCTGAGAGGACCTATGAATAATGATACACCAGTAACAATGAGCATACCTAGTGGCCAGATTTGGTTTCTAAACACTATTCTCCAATAAAAAAGTCCAGAGCTCCTTGGAGAGGCACTTAATTTGAACACTGGAGCAGGACGAGATGAAGCTAGAATATTTTTTGATGCCAGAATGTAACGGTGTGTTTAGAAAAAGTATGGAGGCATGTCAAAAGGACACAGCAAGCAACCTTAAGAAGCTCCCAATGGCCAAACCTAGAACAATCTGAATAGCAAAATAAATAATAATATTGGATTATGGTGTACAGAACAAGCTAAATATCCATGAGTTTATACTCAAATAAATAAAAATTGAATAACTAGCTAATAAGTGGATATGAAAGGACAGCTCTTCCTTACAGAAAAATTCTAATTAACAAGTATGGAAGGAAAGAAGAAAATACAAACCCATTGGGCAAATACAATTGGAATAATTGTTGCAGGCAAGATCCACCAATGGATGCTAAAATCAATGGGTAAAAGTTTGACTTGACATAGGATATATTCACAATCAAAATATCCTCCTCAAGATATTTATCAATTACAAAGAGAAAGGCAATAAATTTACAATGGAGAAAATGTGGTTAAAATATTCACCAGGTGGTAAATATCATCTGTACTAAGGTTTACTGACTTTAATTAGCCTCCTAATATGATATTCATCGAGAAGGACACAGCATCACTTCAATGGTGTTCTTGTCCCTCAAAATTGCATAACCTCAGTTTAATCATGAGAAAACATCAAACAAACCCACGCTAAGGAACATTCTGTACAAAAATGACCAGTAATCATCAAAAATGTTAAGACAACATGAAAGAAAAAGACTGAGGAACTATCACAGATTGGAGGATACTAAAGAGATGCAACCATGAAGTGCAATGTGGAGTGTGGAATTGGATACTGGAACAGAAAAAAATGTGAGGGGAAAAAGTGGTAAAATATGAATAAGGTCTATAGCTTAATTAATAGTATTGTACCAATGTTAATTTCCTGGCTATTAAATATTGAATGCTTCCCTGTAAAATCAGAAACAAAACAAGCATGTATGCTATTTCCTCTTCTATTTCATATAGTACTAGAGATCCCAGAGAGTGCAGTGAGTCAAGAAAAATAAATAAAAAGAATTAAAATTAGAAAGGAAGAATAAAATCTATCTTTACTCATAAATACAATTGGCCAAATAGAAAATCCCAAGATTACTAAAGCTTACCTGAGGACATGCAAGCCAAGCTTTCTATTTAAAGCAGCCAGAAGAAGAGAATGTGGACCTAGGAAATGATGGGAGGAACAACATCTGTCCAAGCCTGGACTCCTAACTTCCTACAGTGGAGTCTTTGGGTGTCTGATCCCTGCCTCACCATGTACTGACCAAATCAGAGTCTCTGGGTTGCACCTGAGAACCTGCATTTTAATCAGAACCCCTCTTGCCCTGGTGATAATGGTAGAGACAGGTTGTGCAGAGGAACGTGTGTGTATCAGACCAACCAAGGTTTGAATCCTGACCCTTCCAGACCCTGGTTTACCTCTCTATGCCTCTGCTAGTTCACCAGCATAATGGTACCAACCACATATGGTGGCTGGGAGATTTAAGTGATTTGAGTGAGAATTAGGTACAACACTTGGCACAAAGGAAGCACTCAATACCTGGTGGATTAAAATAATAATTGAATGAGGGCCTGAAGTCCACCCACCACCTTTCTCTTTCTCCTCCCTCTACAGGCCCCGGCCTGGCCTTTATCGCTTACCCCAAGGCCGTCACCATGATGCCTCTCTCCCCACTGTGGGCCACCTTGTTCTTCATGATGCTCATCTTCCTGGGCCTGGACAGCCAGGTAAGGCACGGAAGGAGGCGGGCAGACCGGGCTGAGAGGGCAGGGAGGCCCTGGGGGCTAGCCAACTCCTTCTCATTCTGGTCAGCAGGGATCTGCCTACTGTCCCCACCTTGCTTTTCTGCCGGCATACTTTCCTATCCCCTAGGTGGTCTCCACCATCACCGCCAAACACAGCTGCTCAGGTCCCTCTAAGTCTTCCCAAACATTGTTTTCCTTCCTGAAATTCCCAACTCCCAATTCAGGTTTTTTAAACACTTAGACCTGGTCAGTACTTCTACCCAACAGCACCATCTAGCAAAGCAGAAGCTCTCAGAAAGCGGGCTATGGTTAGTGATATCTGAGGACATAACTAGCATGTGTCCCTGCCCCAATCAAATCATGCATGACACGGGGACATAGAAAAGCACCTGTTTTCTTCCTCCGTCTCTGATTTGGGGCCACCATGACATCACCCAGGCAGCCACATGGGTCTTCAGTACTGCCACCACCTCCCAACCCCCCACATCTTACCTGCCTGCCTCTGTTCTCAGGTCCCTTAGGGCTCTCGCGCACCCACCTTCTACGTGGTGTACAATTAGAACTAGCAATTTACCCTCTATTTCACACAAATACATGTGCTTATATCCTCTCACACTGTAAAACTCACCCCAGCCTGCCCTCCAAATCCTCTTCCTGGTTTTTCAGCCAGAATTCTGTTGCCTTGAGTCGCTCTTCACCCGCAGAAATCTGCCCTTTGCCCTGCTGCTTCATCGCAGCTGATTCCCCTGTAAGTCCCAGAGAATGTTCTCCAACCAAAGCCATGCTCTGCTGTTGGACTAGGGTCTATTGGCAAGGCACTGCCCATTACTCATGACCTTGTGCAAGTCACTTAGCATCCAAACCCTGGGTCTGGCATGCCTGTCAACCCAGCCAAGTCCAATTTCTTCCCTTGGATGATTTCTCAGAAACTGCTAAGCCAAACTGCTAAAGCACCAGGTGTTTCCGCTGATAACCTTTCCTTCATTGTGTTCATAATCTTCCCTTCCACTGTGGCTGAAAAATCTTCCCTTCCATTGTTGTGGAGGAGCCTCAGGAGGTGTCTCAGTTTGTGTGTGACAGTGACAGGCCTGCCTGGGCAGAGGGAAGTAGGGTGTGGGGCCTGGGCTCTGTGAGTCCCTGGGCTGAGCTGGGCCAGCAGTTGAGCTGAGCTACTGTGTTCCTTGAGGGTGTCAGTGGCTGTGGTATGGAGGGCAGGTGGCCGCTCTGCTTACCCCTACTCATGCTGTACTTGCTTTATGCCTGGGCTGTCTCCTCAGCTCTTTGTCACAATAACCACACAGGCCGGGGGCTCCTCTTGTTGTCCTCATTTTGCAGATGAAGAAACTGAGGCTCAGAGGTGCCAAGTAACATACAGGGACATGCACCCAGGTCTGTGTTCCTCTTAGTCCACATGCTCTGATGCCTCTCTGGGTTCGATCCTGGGTGATTAGCCAGCCTTGCCATAGAGGCAGGGCGGCTTGGAGGGTAGGAGCCTGGGCTTTGGAGTTAGGGCTGCGTTTGAGTCCCAGCCCCACAACTCTTGCCAACTGTGTGACTCTGGGCTAGTCACTTCCCCTCTCTGTGCTACAGTCTTTATGCACAATGAGGATGCAAATACCTTTTCTGGGGAGGTAGAATGAATCATAAAGGACTTGGGACCAAAGATGGGGAGCACCCCACATGGTGACCAGCAAAAGAATCCTTTATTGTTCCCTTCCTCCCTCCTGGCAGTGCAGCTCAGCGGTTAAAGCCCAGACTCTGGAACAATATTGCCTGGTTCAGATTCAGGCTCTATTCATGTTGTACCTCTGTGACCTTGACAGGTCGCTTATACCTCTATGCTTCTGTGTCTTCACTTACAAAAACAGGGACAATGATAGCACTTACTACCTAGAGATTATTTAAGTTAATATCTGTTTACTGCTTCAAACAGAGCCTGGCACAACAAGCACCATGTGTTTGCCCATTATTATTTTTTTATTATCAACCATTTTCTGAGGATGTTATTTGTGCCACTGGAAATGAGTTTAAGGAGATAGATATAAGCAAGAATGGGCCCCAAGGGCTAAGGGAGGTGTCCCGGGCATAGAGGAGAGGGAAGGCCTATTCCTCTGGAGTCAGGCCAGGGAGGGTCAGGAAAGGGCACATTGCAGATCTGCTCACGGTGCTGGGAGAGCCCGGGGAGGGGTGATTGGTGTGTTGGGATATTTGGGTTGCATATTGATGGGTAAATAGGAATGGAACTGATGCCTTGTGCCTGGCCCTGTCTCACCATGACAGAACCGGGATGCTTAGTGGCTTGAGCTCTGCTGTCTGAGCCTGCCTAGTCTGCCCAGGCCCAGAGACTCATGCAGTAGCAACACAGGGGCTGGGTGCTGGCTTAGCTCTCATTGCCTCCACCCAGCAGAGCACAGGGCACCAAAGCAAAGGGTGGGGGGCTATCACAGTCCTGGAAAACAAGCAGATCCAGTCCTGCCCACCAAGACTGACCAGAGCCTGCCACCCACAGAGCACTTGGCTCTCAGGACTCCTGTCTTGCCTTTCAGGCAGGGGCTGGGTCTCCTTTAAGGCATTGACCCCAGAACAGGGCCCAGCCCATAGTCCCCTGACAGGCAGCATGGGGGAGATGGAGTAAGCTCTAGAGTCATGAGACCCCATTTCAGGTCCTAACTCGGCCACTTCCTTGCTGAGTGATCTTGGGCAGGTCACTTCCCTTCTCTGAACCTCAGGGTCCTAATCTGTTGCGTGGGCGCGCTGGAGCCCGTAAGTGCGGGGACTGTGGCTCTTATTCCCCGGCCCTCCATCCGTGGGAATGAGTGTGGGAGTGAAGGTAAGCCCAGAGGGGAAGCCCAGGGCTTAGGCCCACTGTGCTCGCCACAGCCAGGGTCATTAAAATGCCCTTTCTGGGGGGCTTCACACCATTGTATCTACCCTGTCCAGTTTGTGTGTGTAGAAAGCCTTGTGACCGCCGTGGTGGACATGTACCCCAAAGTCTTCCGGAGGGGCTATCGGCGGGAGCTGCTTATCCTGGCCCTGTCGGTCGTCTCCTATTTTCTGGGCCTCGTGATGTTAACAGAGGTGAGTGATGTGGACAGAGTAAGCGATGCGAACAGCGTACCACAGGGTGAAGTGCCTGGGCTTTGAGTTATGCGGGTCAGAAATCATATCCCAGTTTGAAATGAACTAGCTGTGTGACCCTGGTCAGGTCTAGTACCTTCTCTGTTGACTCACTTCTTTTATCTTCCTAAGTGGGTGTTGTGAAAATTGCATGAAAGTTCTCATTAAGCCTCAGAACAATGTCTCAAATGTGTAAATGCTCAGCTAAAGGTCACTGCTATCATTATCAGAGGGGCATAAAGCTCCCAGAGGGAAATTCTGGGATTATCTGGTATTCTGGAAGAATGGGCCACCGCTAAGAATAACTTGGTGTGAAGGGGACAGTGTCAGCTACACATATCTCAACTAGTTACATTATTGCACTAAAGATCAAAACAGGCTTTTCTGGAGCATCACCAAAAATAGATGCACGTGATGATATTGGGCACCTTCAGGCACTGTGTATTATAACTTAAGAAGATGTGTACCCATCTTCTTCATGGGCCTGTGGTTAAGGAGGGCTTCATCATGACCCCAAAATTAAGATTGCTTCATATAATCCTGTTTCTCTCACTCTTCTGTCATCATCCTAATAGATACTTTCTCAAGTACCTTGGGAAGGTGACCTTAAGTATTTTTCTCCCTATACCCAAATTAATTTAAAAACCAAACCAAAAAAAAAAAAAAAAAAAAAACCTGTTGCCTAGAGACAAGAAGTTTATAAGAAACAGGGAAAGAAATGAGAGAACTCAGAATCAAAGGAGCTGCTATGGTACTAAGGTCAGCTTGTTGAATCTCCTCATCTTCTATTTCTCAGCCAACTGCCACCACCTCCTGGAAGTCTCCCCTGCTTTCCTTCCCCACAGCACTTTGTTCCATGCTCAGCCCAGCCTCCCTCCCACTGTTACAATGACCCATCTGTTCACCTGTCTCCTCTACCAGATGCTGAGGTCCACAGAGAGACCTTACCTGGCTCTGTGCTCTCAGGGTGGGCACTTGCTGTGTTATTACTAGTGGCTGGTGTTATTACTGCTCCCAGTCATTGTCACATTAATGGGAGTGATAATCAGCATTTGAGCAAATGAATGGTGTGGCACTTCTTATTTCCATCTAGCTTCTCCCCAGGCAGGAAAACGGGCTGCTGTGAGCAGGGCCTCATTAAATGCTGATTAATTACGCAAGGTAGAGTCTTTTGTCACACACAAATTGGGGGTTAACCTGATGTGTTAAAGAGGCTGATGAGGACAGGACTGCAAGAGCAGACATTGACATGGGCAGCGCCAGCCTGGAGCAAGCAGGTGGAAGGTCCTAGTGGGCCTCTGGCCCTGGGTACCACCAGCTTGCAAAGCCTTCATGTCCATTCCCCACCTGAAGCCTCGGGCCTGCCCAAGGGTGCCTTGCCGCCCCCAGGGCCCAGCAGGAAGCCAAGACTTGGCTGCCTGAGACCATGACTTCACATGCCAACCTTCTGCCTCCACGGAAGAATATCTGCACAATTGCACAGGGGAAGTTCAAATTGCCAAATGAGCCGTGTCAGCCTTGGCCTTCACAGTAATTGCTGGCAGGATCTTCTCCCTCATTTATAGATGTTTAGAGCTCAGCTCTAGGGTAAAAATAGGCCACAAATTTCTTATGGTCCACCTAGGCAGTAGAGTGGTTAGGGTCATGGCCACCTGGGTTCAATCCGCAGCCCCTTGACTGGCTAACTGGATGGATGACCTTCAGCAAATGTTCTTACTGCTTTGTGCCTCGGTTTCCCCATATGTATATTGGGGATAACAATAGTGCCTGCCTTGTAATAGGCCAGCTGAGTGTGCACCTCCTGGGCCTCCCACTGAACTTAACCATCACAGATTTGTGTATTACAGAGTTGGCTCACATAATTCCTATATCCTATAAAGGTTGGTTGCACACCTACTGTGTGCCAAATCCTGGGCCAAAATGAGGACACGGCTGTAGACAAGTCAGTCAGAGTCCTTCTTCCATGGCCTCTCACTCTACACAATTCATTTTGTATTTATAGAGAATCTACTGTGAGCCAGACTCTGTAACGAGGGCCATAGAGAGGATAGGTATGCAGGCCTTCCCAGCAGGAGCTCAGCACTAGCTGAGCAGCTGAAAGGGGAATACTTTTTTAAATTCTGACCTCATAAAAATGTGCTGTGGAGGCCCAAAGAAATAATGAGGCTGTTAGAGAGGGCTTCTTGGAGGAGGAGGCATTTAAGCTGAGCTTTGAAGGAACCTACAAGTGAACGGGAACAGCATGTACAAAGACACAGAGGTGAGACTGTCCTTTATTCTGTCCAGGAGGGAGCATGTCGAGGGTGGCTGGTGATAAAGGGTAATGAGGCCAAGCGAGGAGGGCGGTCCTGACTGGCAGGCTTAAGGGAACCAAAAGGTAATATTAAACTGCAGGGTGACATGGTTGGATTTGCAGATTAGAAAGGTCCCTGTGAAAGCTGGTGTGCAGAAGGATTGGAGAGGGCATGGCTGGGAGAGGCAGGGAGGCCAGCGGGGGAGGCTGTTAGAGCCATCAGGGAGAGGTGCTGAAGCTGCCCAACTTCAAGTCTCTGGTTTTCTGTGTTGTTTCTGGAATTGGGGAGCATAGATAAGAAAGACCATCACAGTCCCAGCAATTCCCAGAGGATGGTGTCTTGGGGGTACCCAGGTGCAGAGGGTACAGTGTTCTAAGGATTAGGGAGACGCATTCTGCCGTAGTGGAAGCGACTCCTGAGTGATGATAGGCATAGGGCAGAGTAGAGGGTCCTTTTCAAGGCCAGGTGATTGACCCTGCTCCCCTGTGTGTCCGTCCATCCCTCTGTCCATGTGTCTGTCCTCCTGCCCCATAGGGAGGCATGTACATCTTCCAGCTCTTTGACTCCTATGCCGCCAGTGGGATGTGCCTTCTCTTTGTGGCCATCTTTGAGTGTGTCTGCATCGGCTGGGTGTACGGTGAGTAGAAGCCAAGCCTTCTCATACTGTAGTGGCCTGCATCTGTGCCCAGGACACAGGTGTCTGGGACAGGGGTGGGCTCAGGCTCTCAGTGGCCTATCTCTGTCAATGCCAACCTCATTCCTTCCCCTCAGGGACTCCTTAGCCCTTCCCGCTTGGGATACCTTTCTGCTTTTATATTCCCACAGCACAGGGAGGGGTTTCAGGTTTAGGGACTGTGACCCTGGGCTATTCCTTTTGCCCCTGAGATTTAGTTGTTCCATCTGCAAAAGGAGGTCATCAGCACCATGTCTCCAAGAAGGAGATAATGTAGGCAAAGCAGGCAGCACAGTGCCTGGCCCTCAGTCAGTACCTGGCCTCCTGGTCCTCCTGTTCTTGGAACAAATTGGGTTTGATGATGATGGACATTCCCACTGTGAACTTGGCTTAGCACTAGATGCCCCTGCAGGCCACTCTGCTCATTAGCCAGCCCAGCCAGGCCCTGGCCTTCAGAGCCCTGACCCCAGCCTCCATGCAAGCCAGCCAGCGCCTTGCCCTGCTTCTTCAGGGACCGCTTTCCACCATTCTCTCACGAACTCCTCACCCTCTCCTGGGCCTCATTGCCCAAGGTCAGGAGGGGTCCTCTCAGTATCAGACCAGAATCCCTCCTTTTATAATTCATCCCAAAACCTAGCATAGATACAACATCTTGGTAGTTTTAAGCAATAATAAATAAGGTCCCTGCCACAATTTTTCTGTGCCCAGCTAGGGAAAACAAGCACTCCTAGCCTTCCTTCTGAGTCTTGTACAGATTCTCAGGTGTGTATGCCTCTCTGTTTTATTCTGGACAGGAAGCAACCGCTTCTATGATAACATCGAAGACATGATTGGCTACCGGCCGTTGTCCCTCATTAAATGGTGCTGGAAGGTTGTGACCCCTGGGATCTGTGCGGTAAGAGCCCAACCACCCACCCACTTTTCCACTCCAGAGCCCCAGACCTGGCAGAGCTGTAAATGAGGAGGTGAGGAGGTGACATTGCCTGAGTGACCTCTGTGTACTCGGAAAGTCCGAGGTACCAGTCTCTGGGTCAGTAGGGGAGGAGCCTCCATGGGATGCCATCTGTGCCACCAGCTTGCTGTGTGACCATAAGCAAGTCACCTCCCTCCTCAGAGCCTCAGATTCTGTACCTGCAAATTGGGCAACTGTGACCCACCTTCATGAGGGCCGAGGATCATTTGAAAGACATTTGGCTTCATTGTTAACTGAGAAAGCAGCACAGCTGAGGGGAAAGTTGGGGCTCACATTCTGCCTTTAGACCAGACCATGGAGTCAGAGATCTTCATGAGCTGATGTTTAATAAAGAAAACAACCCATTACCTTTCACCCAGTTCTTGGCACTGGAAGTATCTCAAAGCATCTTCATAAACCATTGTAGTCCTAAAAGGCAGTTTTGAAACCAGTCCCAAGAAATAAGAAAAATAAAAATGATTGGGCAGCGGCTAGGGATGAGGCCCCTAGGGTTGGGGGTGGTGTAGAAGAGTTTCACAGCCCTGTGAGGTCCCAGAATCTGGGGGTGGGGGGGTCCATTCCCTGTGTGCCTTATGCTGGTGGGATGGGCCTCAAACTTGCTGTGGACCAGCACAGAGCCTTGTCTCTCCAAGGCCGTCACATGGAGTAGTTCCTCTCCACTCCGGGCCTGCACGCTGGCCCCAGGGACCTCTCCCCGTCTATCCACAGGGCATCTTCATCTTCTTTCTCGTCAAGTACAAGCCTCTCAAGTATAACAACGTCTACACCTACCCTGCCTGGGGCTATGGCATAGGCTGGCTCATGGCCCTGTCCTCCATGCTCTGCATCCCCCTCTGGATCTTCATCAAGGTGTGGAAGACAGAGGGGACACTGCCTGAGGTGAGACTGGGTGAGGAGGGGTCAGCAAGGGCAGCCCCAAGAGGGGCAAGGTAAAGGGCAGAAATTGGCTCTGCCTCAGAGCAGGCTGATGAGCCGGGTTGAGTCTGTGGGCACCTCTCTGGGTTTCAGTTTCCTCATCTGGACAATGGGTGTGATGAGAACAGGCCCCTGTGTGTCTCTCAGGGATGCTGTGGCCAGATCTTCCTTGACAGGTGTGTATCATGACCACTCTTGTAGAGGCATCTCTGTGAGGCCTCAGGGCTGAGCCTGCTTCTCTGAGCTCAGCTTCAGTTTCCCCATCTGTAAAACGAGGACAGCGGCAGTCCCTAACTTACTGAGCTTTTTGTAAGGACTCTCAGTGGGTTCATATAAGGAAAGCACTTAGGCCAGGACCCAGAACAGAGAGCGACCAAGTGTTAGCTCTTGCTATCTGCTAATGCATTAAGGGCCCCACTCCCAGGGCAAAGGAAGATCTGACGTTTGGGCACTGACACCTATCCCATGTCATCACCTGCTAGGTTCTCTACATGTTGTATATCCTTTAGTTTAGTCATCAGAGCAAACCAGAGTGCTGGCATCATTTTCTGCATTCAATAGGTAGAGAAAAAAGCTCAAAGAAATTGTCACTCAAGCAAAAATTAGTATCATGCAGCCCAAAATTAGCAAACCAAAATTTTTTATTGAGATGTACTTGTAATACATTATATTAGTTTCAGGTATATCACATAATGGCTCGATATTTGTATATATTGTGAAACGGTCACCACAATAAGTCTAGTTAACATCCATCACTACACATAGCTACAGTTTTTCTTGTGATGAGGCTTTCAAGATCTACTCTCCTATCAACTTTCAAATATGCAATGCAATATTATTAACTATAGTCAACATACTGCACATTACATTTTCATGACTTAATTATTCTGTAACTGAAAGTTTGTGTCTCTTGACCTCATTCACCCATCTTGCCCACCAGCCAATCTGTCTTCTCTATTTGTGAACTTGTTTGTTATGTTTTCTTAGATTCCACATGTAAGTGAAGTCATATGGTATTTATCTTTCTTGGCCAGGCTTACCTCACTTAGCATAACGCTCTCAAGGTCCGTCCATGTTGTCACAAATGGAAAGACTTCCCTTTTTATGGCTGAAGAATTAGTGTGTGTGCTACATTTTCTTTACCCATTCATCTGTTGATGATGTACACTGAGGTTATTTCCATGTCTTAGCTTTTGTAAATAATGCTATGATGAACATGGGGTGCATATATCTTTCCAAGCTAGTGTTTTTCTTGTCTTCAGAGAAATATCCAGAAGTGGAATTGCTGGACTATAGAGTAGTTCTAGTTTTGATTTTTTGGGGAAACTCCATACTGTTTCCATAGCGGAAACCAAAAATTTTAAAACAAAATATATTGAAGTATATTTAAATATAATAAAATTCACCCATTTGGGGTGTCCAGTTCAATGCTTTTTCAGTGACTTTTGGTATGGTGCATTTATCACCATAAATTAGTTTTAGAACATTTTTGTCACCCTAATAAGATCCTTCATGCCCATTCACAGCCAACCCTGTTCCCATCCCACCGATCTCCTTTCTTTTTCCATGGTTTGCCTGGTCTGGACACCTCCTCTCAATGGAATGGTACAGTATGTGGTCTCTTGGTGGCAGACTGAATTATAACCCAAGCAGTCTTATTCCAGAGCACTTGCTCTCTATTTACTCTCCTTTACCACCTGCTGGCAGATCAGATGGTTTGAGTCAGTTCCTTCCTCATTTAGCAAACTGTTTGCAGTGTGCCAGACACTATTCTAAGCTGTTTACAAACACTGAGCCATTTAATCCTCATAGCAGTCCTGTGAGGTGGAGGTTCTTATTTGTCCCCATTTCACAGATAAGGAAGCTGAAGCACAGAGAACTGAAGCAACTTGCCCAGAGGCACACAGCCACTGAGTGGTGAAGTGGTTACTCTGGAATCTGTGCTTTCATCCCCTGAGCTTTATGGCCTTGTTCCTCTGCTGGACTGGCTGCACTCCACTGTGAGGCTCTGTCTCTGTCCCAGTGCCGCACCCTAGGGATCTCAGGGGTTGACCTTGGTCTCCCAGGACAAGGTCAGAGGGAGATGGGAGTAGGTGTGTGTGTGCAGGCACCTGAATGTGATTGCCTACTCAGAATTGGCTTCACTTAGCCCACTTGCCCACCAGGAGGCCTGGGCTCCAGGAGAAGCTATGCATCCAGCCAGCAGGAGCAAGCCTGCTTGTGATCCTAAAGCAAGTCAGGCTCCTTGGCACCTGCAGGGAATGTAGGTCAAGGGCAGTTGGTTAATTCTGATTTGGGACCAAAGGTGTCCAGAGGACAGTGGTCCTGCAGCCCTGACACCCCAACCACTGCAGGCCCCTTCCTGAACTTCCAGTGGCTTTTGGTATTTAGAAATGCCAGTGTCTCCTGGAGAGTCCTCCTGAGATTCTCTCAGCCCTGCATGGATTGGAGCAGGGGAGGGAGGAGTGGCTACTTTGCTGAGTTCCCTCCATCTCTCTAAGCTCACATACTTGCCTGCACAAAAAAACAGGGCTTATTGAAGACAGCGAAGTCTTTAGAGGCAGTCAGACCTGGTTTCCAGACCTTCCTTCCTGGGAGAACTTGTGTCAGTTAATCAACATCCCTCCATTTCCAGAAGTTCTGCCTACTGACACTGACAGGAAGGATCTGGAAGGAAAAATGGGGTCAATGGTTCTTACCTCAGAGAATTGCTATGAGGATTGATACTCTGTGCTAATCTGTGGCTAAATAAACTAATCTGGGCCTCCAGATAATCCTAGATGGCAGGTACCATTGTTTTCCCCCTTTGACACATGAGAAAACTGAGCCACAGAGAGGTTAAGTTTCTTGCCCCAGTTAAGTGGTAGGTCTGGTGTTCAAACCCAGGTGTCTGGCTCCTAAGCCCACGATCTTAACCCCTGTCCTGCATCAAGAGACTGGTGCTATGCCTGGCACACAGGAGGTGTTCAGCACAGATGAGTCTGCCTGTTAATCCCCTGAGGACAATCTAGGTTCAGCTTCTTGAGCATGACAGGATCTGTAAGAGAAAACAGATCCTTGATCATGAGAAATCAGTCCCCCAAAAGTCTTCCCAGCCTTCCTGGGGAAAGAGTTTATGCCCATAAAAGACATCTTAAATCCTGGCCTCATGTCTTCTCCCAAGGGAACCAGGGTGAGGAGGGAGACACACAGGAAGATGAGGCGTGGAACCCCAAGGCAGGGCTGTGGTGGCAGAATTGAGGTTCAGAAGTCTGCCTGTGGCTACCACTTCCTCATCAGAGTAGTGGGAACAATAGCCATTTCATTTGTGCCCAGCCCAGTGCCGGCCACTCTACAAGGTGGTGTGAGGCTGTAGCTATGAGTATTGGCATTAGTGATAGTGTTTGCATCTTCGAGTGGCAGCCCAAGGAACGCATGGCACATACCACATGTTCCCCTGAATGGTGGCAGCATGATGACATCCCTTTTGTGGGAAATGTTTCCATTTATCCAGCAAACATTATATAAACAGCCCTGGAGGTGCGTCAGCTCACCCTCACAACAGCTCTGCCAGCAGGTACTATTATCCCATTTCACAGAGGAAAATGCAGCTCACAGAAGTTAAGGGACTGACTTGCCCAACAAAGATAGGGAGTGACATCTCAGTGATTCAAACCCCAGTTGCTCAGTCTCTACCAGGGGGAAGGGAAGGGGCAGTCAGCCCTGATTGTCCCTCCCTCATCCTAGTTACCTGCAGGTAGGCCAAGTACAGGTAGAGCGTTTCAATATCCCCTTACTACTCACAAAAAGCTGGGAGTGAGTATCTCCATTGTCCCCATTTTCCAGAAGTGGAAACTGAGTTCCTGGGAGCTCAATTCATCATCCAGGACAGAGCCCTAAGTGGGAGAGCTGGGCCTGGGCCTCAGTCTGATGACTCCATGCTCCTCTGGCCCCCCGACACCGTGCTCACTGTGAGGTCGGGAGAGGCCGCGGCAGGCCCCAGGACCCTGGCCGCCGCTCTCAGACAGCTCTTCTCCTCCTCTCCAACCACCTAGAAATTCCGGAAGTTGACGCTCCCCAGTGCTGATCTGAAAATGAGGGGCAAGCTTGGGGCAGGCCCACGGACGGTGATGGTTAATGACTGTGACACCAAACTCAAGGGCGATGGGACCATTGCAACCATCACAGAGAAGGAGACGCACTTCTGATGTCCACCTGCCACCTCGGACCCCACTGCTTCCTCCTCCTTCCCCATGTGTACAAATGAATACCTGAGAAACGTACTTCACCTAATGATAGAGGCTTGCTCATTTTGCACAGGACTTATTAACAAGTTAATTTTAAGGTGGTTGTGTACACTTTGGTTTAAAGTCACATTCCCCTCCTCACCCCCAGTTATCATGTAAGTAACATTATGAGTTAATATTGTACAGGGACTAGCAGAATCTTTTTGTGCTAGGACAGTTTTAACCAGTATTTTCTAGGGGTTAAGAAGAAATGTATCATATGGTCAAACTTTTATACTTGGGCTGTGGGCAGGTGGGGTGGGAGCGATTCCTGTCCTCCTCTGTCAGCCTTTTTAATCAACCAGTCCATGTCCCATCTTTGTTCCTGACCATCGCTGCTGCCCCTCCTTCACATACCCTCGTGGGGGTGGGGAGCTTTTCCTTCAAACCCTCCCTTCCCCATCCCTGACCTCTTAGCAGTGGGTTTGCAGACAGCAAGGCTATGTCAGAGAAGAAAAAGTCCCACCAGATTCAGGACTCCTGGGTTGCAGGCGCCCATCTACCCTGACCCTATTTAGTGATCTTGGGCACTCCCTTCCACTCCCTGGGCCTCAGTTTCCCTGTCTCCTACATGGAAGGGTCGGATCAGGTGATCTCGAGGTCCTTCCTGGCCTGGCAGCATCTCTTGGGGATTCTCATTGCATGCCTTGCTGGCTTGCAGGCCTGCCCTTCATCTTGGATTCTTCTGGAGACTCTTAGGCACTCATCCTTGTACCCACCCTCCACCTGCCTATTTTAAATCAAGTTCATCATGAAAACAATGTGGTGGCAACAGCGTTTTCCCAAAACTCTCATTTGATTTCATCTGTGAACACTTTCTTCCCTGGAGACCAGCCAGGTCCTGGCCCCCATTCAGGCCCCTCCTACACTGTCTGCTCTCACCCTCAGCTCTGCCTCTCCATCCTCGGTGGAGTTTGCTGGAATTGGCTGGGCGCTGGTTTTCAGGCTTAGGAAGCAGCTTCTGTCGGTGGCTGTTTGTCCTGCACCTGTCCCAGCCAGGATCTGCATTGTAGAACTTTCCACCAGCCTCTCAGGGGAAGGAGCTACAGGCAGGCCTGGAGCCTGGTTTCATCCTCCAGCTCCTTCTTCATGCCCCTGCCACGTCCTCTCCCTCTGGCTGTCTCAGACCCTCCCTCCCCTGCCATCCTGACACCTCTCCATCTCCATCCTTTCTGTCACCAGCTTCATGGAAGCTTCTCCCCTATCCTTTTTTCGGGAGCCATCCCACCGGTGCCTCTCCCAGTAAGCGCCGAGAAGGGGAGACTGTGCTCCCTGTCCCTCCTCCCTGCAGGCCTGGAGTCTGCGAGGAGGCTGGGCCACTCAGACCTCTCTGGCTGGCCTGTCCTTTTTTTCTTTAATTGGATTTAACATTAACCTTCTGCCTTGGATTTTGCATTATTTGGGGACAGGGAAGGTACATTCTTTATCCTTTTCCTCTATGTCCCCAATGTGTTATTTGGTGGAAATGCAAGCTTTGTTCAGACTGAGGCTTTAGTTTCCTGTAATAAACCTGTATGTTTGATTCACCCAAAAGTTTCCAAACTCCCAGCTTCTCTGCTCTGGGCAGCTGCCCTCTGAACCTGAGTTTGCTGGGCGGGAAGTCCAATGCCGTCCAGGCAGGTGGGACACCAGGTTCTGGTCCCCCTTTTGCACGCACAGCCCAGGCCTGCCCAGCCTCTCCCTGAGCTCTTTGATCTGGTGGACCCAGGAAATGGACTCAGGAAGATGAATGTTCAACTGGGCCCTCTGCTCCTGTCTGTCATTGTCTGCTCTTCCCCCAACAGGTCCTGGGGAGGCATCTCCCCGCTGCTGCTGCTACTGGTTCTCCCCCCACCCTGACAGCTCTCACAGATGCACAGCCCCGCAGCCTTGCCTGGCACACACTGCATTGTACATACATGTGGCACTTAACATTCCACTCACTGAACACTACTAATGGGGCAGGGCAGAGGGCGGGCCTTTGTTCTTTGTTTTTTGTAATTTCCTACTAGTATTTGGGTAACTTTGGGGGGTGGGGAGGAAAATGTGGGGCGGAGGAAACATCATTGTGAAGACTTTTTTGATATTCATTAGAAACAATACATCCTTTCTGAGGTATTTACAGTATTATTAAAAATGAAAAAGGTTGTACTGTTTTGCATAATGAACGTTTTTATTGGGTATTCAAAGGGCACATGGTTGTCTGCTTACTCATTTTTAAAAATTAAAGGAATGAACAAACTATATGTGGCTGTTCCCAACAAAGTGGTATTCATTGAGCTTTCCTTCCTGTTTTTTACTACCTTTGTAATATACCTGCAAAAGCATCTTGGTTCCATATTTGGAGGTTGCAGTCTCAATTTGGGATTATAAATTAGAAACTCAGGAGCGTTTCAGAAGCCCACACTTTCTTTCATGTATTTGCCATGCATTGACTATCTACTGTGTGCTAAATGTTTTACAAGTTACCTATTTAACTCTCATAACAACCCCATAAATAAGGCACTTCCCCCACTTCATTTATGTATTATTTCCTCCACATTACAGATATGGGAAATTGAGGCAGAGAAGTCAAGCTACTTACCCAGAATCACACAGCTAGTAAACAGCATGACCAGAAAGAGAAGCCAGGTCTGTCTGACCTCAAAATCCAGTCTCTTGATTACTATACCTGACTATGTTTTTTGCTGCAAAGCCCCAAAATAGGTGAAAGCCACTTCACAATAGCTACGACAACAGCTGCCACAAAGCTCATGCACCTGTCGTCTTAGGCAGCACTGCATGTGAGGCGGGGAAGGTGGGATAGAAACAGATGAGGATTTGGGTCATGCAGCCCAGGTTTGGCTGCAGGATCTGCCCTGCCAGGCTCAGTTTTCTCATCTCTGAAGATCCCAAGTATGAATGATAAAACTGTGTTCACATTGGTTATTATTATCCTGAATAAATTGGGCCTAAGCTCTAAAGGTTTGGTATTCTCAGACTAGACAAAATCTCTAAATTTGTGTCTGAGATTTTCAAAGAGTAGCTTGAGACCACAGAGCCTGTCCTGTCCTGCTCACTATGGTACAGTGAGATCACCTACACACAGTGTCTGCTCATTCTTATCTCATCCTCCCTCTTGCTTAAAATCCCTGATCTCAAGGTGTACCTGAACCTGTCTTGGCTTCTCGCCCTCTCTGAGGTGGTAACATCTGCTCACAGGGGAAGCATCCCACAAAGTTTCAGAATTCAGAAAAATCTTTGTGATTCCCTGAGTGCTTCATAACTTCATGGGTCACAGAGACTGGCGCAGTCACCTGTCTCCTAACACCATTCCCTCCTTGTGTCTGAAAGTATATTGTGTTAAGCAGCTGTCAACAAGGCTGAAAAGGCTGGGTCATGGAAATGTGGGTCTCCATTGTTCCCAGGGTGTCTGATCTGCAGACTCTTAAGCTTACAGAATTGGTAACATGAGGCATTAATTTACCCAGTAAACCCTGCAGGCTGTAGTGTGTGCTAGCAACCCTGCTGGCCAAGCCTGACTGTGCAGCGTAGCTCTATTAGGCACTGCAAATAACCAGAGGATTCACCCAGCACAGCCCTAGAAATGAAGTTAAAGGTTACTTTAGGCCTAAGAGAGTTTTCTCTGTGATGGGGAAGAGGATCATGCACCAAAGACCTGGCTCTTTCTTCTGGGAGTCGCAAGTTTTGGAAAATAAGGTTGTGTATTCAGCAGGTTTTTACTGAGCATCTACCAGGTTTCATGCCTGGGCCTAGGATTGGGGATATTGAGACAAGTGGAAGGGTCCCTTTCCTTGAATGTTCCTGCCCTTAGTCTAGAGGGCAAATGTCCACACTCCTCTGGATGGGGATACGTACATGGGGAGAAGTTGTTCTGCCGTCCTGTTCACAGCTTTCTCCAGTTTGAGCTCTGCAGTGTGTCACTGTGCAAGTTTTCCCATTTCTGTGGGTCTAAGTTTAGCCATAGGTAGAATGGTAAGAAAATGAGAAAATGTTCCCACAGAGAGGAAACATAGTTGAGTCCAGATGCCCCTGGAAGTCCTCTGCATCATCTCAGGCTGTTAAAAATCAAATGAGCCCTTGGTCTGGGCACCTCATTACCTACAAGAGAGCAAAGTCAACCTTTGTTGCCAATTCCTGGCCATCTCTGTCTCTCTTGAATAAATCTACTTTGTGGGGCCTACTTGGACAAGTAATGCATGCACTGCTCTCAGAGTTTCTGGGCTAGCTGAAGTGTCAGAACCACCACCACAAGAAATTACAGGGCAGAATGTACCAGGAACCAAGAGCTCAGGGGACGCCAGGGGTTCTTGAGCACCTACTGTGTTCCAGGTGTCGTACCTGCATTTCCTCATAAGAGCCTCACAACAAATCTAAGAGGTAAGTGTTTTTGAACTCATTTTTAATATGAAGGAACATATAAAATTACATAAGTTGCCCAAAGAGATATCTAGTATACCTCCTGGAAGGGGAAGGAGCTAGGTAGGACCAGGTTTGCTGGGTCTAAATAGAGCTCACATACCTAACCACCTAACCAAGGATGTGGGACTTGAGCTGTACCTTGAGGGAGAGGGAGAGTTTGCCAGGCAGGGAAGGGCATTTGAAATAAAGGAACAGTCTGAGAGCAAAGGTGGAGGTAAAAAAAAAAGTTTTTGGAGGAAGAGGGTAGAAATCAAAGTCCTCCTCATCCATGGTCTACTTTTATAACCCCTTGTGCAACTTTACCTGCTAAGACTGGTGTGGCTCCTCCCCAATTTCTTGGATAGAGCAAGGGGGTCAAGTAACACCATGCTCATCGAGGATGGCACCTGGTGCAGGTCTCGGCACAGAGAAGGTGCTCCAGGGGACTGCAGCTTCAATGAACCAGTGTCCAGCCTGCCCCAGAGTGGGGAGCCATGGGAAAGGGAATAAATAAGCATTGAAGACTTACTCAATATTGTAAATCATGCTGGGCCCTTTCATGTGTTACCTTGCCCTCAGTCACCCTGTGGATTTACATGGTGTCCACATTCTATCAATGAGGAGACATGCTCAAAGAAGCAGAGTCTGCTTGCTGCCCAGGGTCCCAGAGCTGGAGAGTGGCCGAGCGGTAGTATCGGAGCCCGGGGTCTCTGGCTCCAAGGCCCATGCATTTTCTGCAGATTACTTTGGGAGCCACTGCTTGCCACCATGACCATCAGCACTGTTGGATCATTCAAGGCCATGGAGCAATGGGTGGTGTTGGAGACCATGTAGGGAAGGTCTTCAGGAGCCTTGAAATACCTGTGTTGACACTAGGGACCTCTGGAAGCCTCCATAGTTCCCTAGAAATGATATGTGCAACTGGAGTTTGCTGAGATGGGCAAGGGGATATTTGGGACCAGTGAGAGGCATCGAGGCGGGAAGGGACCATTGAGATGCCTAGAGATGTGAGAGGTGGGGAGGTCCTACGGACCTAGTAGAATTATGTGGAGCTTCAGTGGGTGAAGGGGGCCTTTTGGAATTGTGAGGGGATGAACTCACTGGAGGGTGGGTATGAGTTATAGGGGATCAGTGGGGAAAATGAAGGGTCATTGGGGAACACTTCACAGTCAGAGGGCCATCAAGACATAAAAAGTTTTAGGGCCCTTGGTCATTATTGGGGGCATGGGAGCCATCCAGAGTTCTAAGGGTCTTTGGGGCCACCTTGTGGGAAGAATGACTCTGAAAAGCACCCTGCAGAAAGCAGCCTTGAGGAAAGAGAAGAAGGTGAAAAGAAGAAGCTTGGAAATGCTTTCAGAAGTGGGGGTTTAGACAGTGGAGCTGACATGAATGTGAGTGAGGAGGGGCAGTGCCCAGCCAGAAGTACAAACCACAAGAGCAGGCACGAAAGTTGGCCCTGGATCAAGGACTTCATGACCTTGACCTATTGAAAGTGGGGCTGGCTTGGCTTTTCTGGAGAACTCCGCCTAGGTGTGTCAGACAAATTCTGGCCAACACTTCATTTCTCTAATTCTCACAGGAATATTTTCTGCCTTCCTTTTGAGTCTCTTTCCAAATCTAGCCATTTCTGGGGTGCAAAGACTCTTGTATCCTTTTCTGAGCAGGACCTTAGACCCCATCAGAGAAGGGTGACTAAGGAGAAGCCCAGCAGAGAGTCTGGGCCCGATCTGTGGACCTGGTCTGATGGTGGACAGGGTGGACAGAGGAAACAGTAGAACAAAGGCAAGTATCATTTACTGATCAACTAGAGTATCATTTGTTGAGCACCTACCATGCACCTGGGATAGGGCCAACTATTAGCCTCAAAACAACCCCTGCAACTGTAATTTATTCCCATTTTACAGATGTGGAAACAGATCTGGCAAGGTAGGTGCAGGAATTTGCCCAACATCACAGAGACTGAGCTGGAATTCAAAGCCAGGTTTATCAAACCCAGAGTCCTTGTTTTTTCCCTCCATGCCAGGCGGATTAATCTGCTCAGGTCTCTAGCAGGGAAGTATCAACCCCACCAGGCCTTTCTCTCCTCATCACTGTCCTACCCCGTCAGACAGACGCTAGTGGCAGCAAATCAGCCGCTAGGTGGCGCTGTCGCTTAAACCCAAGCCCCTGCCCTTTGGTCCAGGTTCTGACCAAGGAGTGAGGTCAGAATTGGCGCCAAGATGGAAAGTTGAAACTAGATCATGCAGAGACCCCACTCTGGGTGCCCAGATGAGAGACAAAGAGGATGCCCTTAACAAAAAGACACAGTTCACCCAGCCCCGTCCTTAGCTCCTATTTGCAGTACTAGGTCAATAGCCAGACACCTGCATTCAATTCTCAACTCCCCCACTCACTTTTATATTCCAAAAAATAAAACCCATAAAGCTCTTTTTTTTTTTTTAAATCCTCTCCCTACCTCTGAGAGGTTGGCTACTGGCTGTGTGACCTCAGGCAAGTGACTCCGCCTCTCTGACTTCAGTTTCTTCATCTGTGCAGATGGACAGAATAAGCCCCTTCTGTCAGGGACGCTGAGGGGATTAAATGAGGCGATGCTGTGCCAAAAGTGTCTGATACATGGAATGTGGTTCTTGTTACATGTCACTCTTCTCTGAACGACAGGCGTAGGGGCCCCAGGCAGTGTCATGAGACCTGCATCCTAGTTCTGCATCCTAGTATCCCTTGGGCAAAACCACTTTGTCTTCCTGAGCCTTAGTTTCCTCATCTGTAAAATGGGGCTAATCACAGGAACTCTCTCGGTTATTCTGAGGATTAAATGAGATCATGACTATCTGACATTTGTTTTA